AAAATTCAGCTAAAGGGAATGAGATTTGAGACGATAGAAGAGATTCAGGCAGAATCGCAGATGGGGCTTGACAGGCTGAGAAAGAAAGATTTCCAGGGATGCTTCCAGGCTTGGCAGCGGCGCTGGGATCGTTGTGTTCACTCCCAGGGGAACTACTTCGAGGGTGATGGATGAATTTAATACCTGAGATAAGTGTACGGGTTTTTATACGCGCAGTCTTGAAACTTTCCGATCGCACCTCGTATAAGATATGTATGCAAAATATTTATGAGAAACTCGAGGAAAAAGTCCACTAGGGAGACATGGGAACAGATGGGAGGACAAAAGTAAAGTGGATTTTAAAGAAGTAATACATGAAGGTGTTGACAGAATTCAGCTGACTCATGACTGTCTCCATGGCAACCCTCGTAACGATGTTGATTGCCGTAACCTAGAAATTGTTGACCTCACCTGCTCAATATCCATGGAGTTGAGTTGTCGTCTGAGTAACTAACAAATGAGTTAGAGATTTTAACAGAAGTGAGTCTAAAATGCTGTGCAAGTTACAGGTGGTAGCCGTGGCCACGTACTGCGCAATCGTCGTCCCTAGGGCGCAACTGCTGGCCGAGGCCGTCACTCAAGGCGTGTTCATGGCCGCGTTGTATCAGCTGTTCTGCTTGCTGGTTGCATACTGCGGAGGGGAAGCCGAACTCATTCGAAGGGTGAAACCCAATTCTCTGAACCCCCGGGTTGCCCCTTGCTGTTGCTACCCCTGCTGCTGTCTGCCCTTCTTGACCGTAGACAAGTACGTGTGAAGAAATTTTTATAAGGAAACAGATTATGTGAATTTAAACTGGTTTGAACTGTCTCAGGACATGTTTATCTACAAAAAAAATTGTTACTAAACACAGGCGCCAAAAAAAATATAAGATTTTGATTTCTTATTGCAGGAAACATGTTCGGTACCTTCGATTATTGATTCTGCAGTTGCCAATTGTTCAGGGGTTGGTATACATGGTTCTGCTGGTCATGTGGGCTGAGGAAGAGGTAAACTTAGCATGGTTGCCAACATTCTACTGCCCTCCAAATATTATGTCGAAGTCAGCTCTGACTTAGTAGATTTTTCTTAAATGACCTCATATTTGTCTATCCATTTGGCTAGTAATGAGAAGTTGACAAAGTTAAAAGTTTATTAAAATTGATCTGTAAATTCAGCAAAATTAAAACTAACCATTTTTTTTTAAAAAAATTAAGAAACAAAGTTTATAAAGTTGGAAGTTTGTTGTCATAAATTAATGAATCCATTCGACTTTGATTACTGCATATATGTAGTGCTTTGGATTTGATTGGATGTGCCGTGTTCATTGAAACTGGCTGTTAGGTTAATAACCCTAAAATAAGGTTAATTAATCCTGGTCTGTGGCAACTTGAAACTCAAAGTGAAATGTATTTGTACAGAGCCTGTATGAGGTCAACTACATGTATCTGCAACCAGTTGTCATCTTGTCGATACTGTTTGGCGTTTGGGGCATAAGTATGACTATCAAAACGCTGAGTGAGGTTCTCAAGGATCACCAATTGCAGGCCAAGTTCATGGTACTCCAGATGGTGCTGTTGCTCGCCAAATTCCAGGCACTCACTGCTCGCATAGTCGTATGGGGCGGCCTCATAGCATGCGAGCCCCCCATCACCCCTGCTGTGTATGCAAATTGTAAGTTTCAGCAGCGTGATATGCGGGTTGTTGGGTTATTTAATAACATTTCTTCATCTTCGCTGGTTATGTAGTGTCCATCAGCAGAATTATTGTGAATCATGAATTTTGAGTTGCCCCATGTATCAACGGGGCACCGACCTAACTTTCGTTAGTGTGGTTCGTAAATATTCCATTTATGTCCATGAAAGTATCTGTAATGTTCCGGAGATACTGTTCACACACATTAAAGATACCCCTGGATTATTAATGCTACGACAAACTTAGATATTGGGGTACCCAACAGACAACCAATTACGTGTAACTGGTACATTATTATTGGTTGGTAGAATTTGAAAGTATACTATCACTAACAATTTCAAGGTAAGACCACAACAGCCATTTTCACTCACACGAGAATCACAAACATTCTTTGTACAGAGTGAATCCATTGTTTTACGTTTCACAGTGAAAAATGGAATTTGATGGTATTTGGTGAGTCTAACCCAATAACTGAGACAAATCTTATTTTGATTTTAGTTCGTATTGTCCACTATTATAAACTTTACTTTACATGCAGCTTAAATAAAATTTTATGAATTTTCTAAAAAAAATTACTTTCCAGTCAACCTGTATCTTTCTTCTGAGACTGTCTCATTACTTAAACGGTTTCCTCGATGATGTGTGAATAAGCGTCATTTATGGTTAGACTTGGTTTGTTCTCTGAGTGCATGGTCACCACAGATTGCTGGTTTGCCAGGATAAATTCTCTCTGATGTTTTCAGAGACTGTAGTAAAGATGAAAATCTTATCACAGGAGCAGCCGAACTTTCACGTGCTGTGAGTTTTTTTAGGTTATGTTGATGTGAAACAATCTATGTGTATAGCTTACATATTACTTAAAATGATAAATTGATGGACTTCATAGGCAGTTTCAGTATACTGAGTACAAGGAATTTTATTTCTCGGTGCTCCTGTGTTCAAATCTCATTGTTTCTTGAATACGAAACTTATACCTTTAACCTTAGAAAGTCTTCCATTTCTACTCATGCTGGGAGAAATATTCTCTTTACATTCACATGTTAATATTATATATACAGTTTGAAACGAATCTTAAATATGTAAATTATTGGAACACAAATCATTGTTCAAAGATAGTTACCAATATTTATTTATAACAAAAGAACTTTATGAGCACTGATTCTGCAATAAAGATACAATTTTGTTTCCAGTGATCTACAACTCGGCAATGTTGGGCGAGATGGTGATTCTCGGTATCATTGCTCGCCTCCTTTACAAGAAAGAGTTGCCGGACATTGGCCTCACAGAAGTTCCTCAGCCACAGGAAGTCTACGTCTTTACTGACAAATATTACAATATGATACAAAAACTGCCGAAAGACAAATCACTGAAATAATTGGACCAGTACTGCTGAGTCTGCGGAGTTAATTCAGTATCCTGACTGACTCAGTTACCACGAGACATAAGAAAGTGTAACCATGGCTACTTATATAATTACTTAAACTTCACACTTACATCGCTGCGTTAGGAGTCGAAACAGACAATTCCAACGACAAAATCAATTTCTGTTTCTAAAACATTACGTGTGGCAAAGTAATCAGTAACCTAGTTAGGAGTCGAAACAGACAATTCCAACAACAAAATCAATTTCTGTTTCTAAAAAATTATGTGTGGCAAAGTAATCAGTAACCTTAGCCTGGTTCAGTTTTACTGTATCCTGAAGCCAGTATATGGCTTAAATATGCATTTAAGCGACTATAAGTAGTAAAGTAATTAGTTGATAAATTGCCTCGGTTTAGTCTTGTAATATATGAATTGAACAGCTGAATAGGAGATGGTGGCCAAAAAGGATTCTTGAACTGAGATATTATTTTGTGTATTCTTTATGTTAAAGTCTTTAATTTTGTTGTTAATTGTGTGAAGCATCTTGGTTCTATCGCTAGGCCCAATCAGCCACTTAAATCTCTGTGTTATCGTGCTGGGTGCAGCCAAGGTTCATAATTTAAATGTGATACTTCAAAAACTGGAAGAAAATTTAATAATACTCAGTACGCAGTGAGATTATTTTCAAGGGTTCGGCTAACTGCTGAATATCTCTTGTGTGAAGGAATGGATGATACTCATCAATGAGCACCCACAATTTAAATATGGGTACTTTTTGTTTTGTAACGAGCTTTTCTTAATTTATTTACAAGTTCATAAATAGTGTCTCTATAACATCTGAAATTCACACTACAGTCCTCTCCTTCGGTATCCCGTAGAACCACTTTTTGCATAGGTAAGCGGACGCTTGTTCCAACGCTCATCGTGCATCTGGAAATTCACCGCAGGACATAACATGACGGAGTGAATTTTGACTTATCACACAGATCAGTAAAGGGAGTTAAAACATTGTGGCATTTGGGGATGTAAGAATTAAGAGGTTGACATGTACTTTTTCCCCTTTGCACAAATCACGAGTTAACGTATTACTGCCAGCATACATTCCAGAAATACAACCAAGTTCATACTTGTATGTAAATTGCATCAAAATCCATTTGGGATGATTATAATAATGTATCGCCTTCTTTGGTTCTTTAATGTCATGCAAAATATATTTTGGTACAGTGTATTTACTAGTATCCGACTTAAGAGCAATTAGTTCATGAATATTTTCACATTCATATGTAAATTTTATGACCGTACGTTTAGTTTTCAAATTCATATTTGTTACACACTGAACTAATCAAGTTTCCTTTTAGGTCATAGTTTTATTATCAATTATTCTTAAGTACGTTTCCATTGCAGTGCCCAAACATCATCTTGCAGAAACTCAATAAACAAACTTGTATGCAGAAGCTCTGTGCTTTGTTACCCCAATTATTGTAACAGAGGTCCTTTGTGATTTTTTTCAGATTCTCCCAACGAATATAAGGACAGATCCTTCAAATAC